GGTGAAAACTTGTGTCAACTTAAGTGGATAGGGAATAGTGTGTCCACCAAAATTTTTAACCACTCATATTGCTTAGGGATCCATGTATTATCTAAAAAGGTGTTTTATATTAATAAATGTGTGGCTACAAACTTTGGTGGACATCAACTTAAGTTGATAGGAGTCTTGCTCATAATATGTCATATGTGTGTATATATATACTCTCTCTTAGTATATAAGTATATATAAGTATACTCTCTTTTATATAAGTATATATATGTATAAGTATATATAAGTATACTTTCTCTTATATAAGTATATATAAGAATACTCTCTCTTATATATGTACAATGTATGTATGTATGTATGTATGTATATACTCTCTCTTAGTATATATGTATATATAAGTATACTCTCTCTTATATATGTATACTCTCTCTTATATAAGTATATATAAGTATACACTCTCTTATATATGTATAATATATGTGTGTGTATATATATATACTAATATACTCTCTCTCTCTCTCTTAGTATATTTAAGTATACTCTCTCTTATATATGTATAATATGTGTGTGTGTATACCCTCTCTCTTAGTATCTATTCCTTTATAAAAATAGGAGGATTAGAGATTCACTGTCCATGCTAAAGTAAATAACTAATTAAAAATATTACTGTAGCACACGGGTACACTGTAACATTTAAAAGACACTGTAGCAGAGTGGAATACTGTAGCACTTTCAAAAATTCAAATCATGCCATATTAAAAAAGCGGGATTACTGTAGCAAAAAAAAAAAAAACGTGCTTTGCACGGACCGCAAACTAGTATAAGTATATATAAGTATAGTATTACAACAGTTACTTCTTCCCCATTGGCCCAACGGGCAACGGCTACTTATGCGATTCTCTCTCTCTCAAGTTATAACTTATAAATATATACAATATATTTACATATAATATACGTATATATAATATATAGTTACATAATAATTTGTAAGTATATACTAATACATAATTATATAAAATATAATAATATTAAACTAATTTTTAGCATTTTTTTATAAAAAAAAGAAAAGAAATTTAAAAAACCTAGTTGGGATGTACTTATCTATTGTGATGCGATGAATTCCAAACTAAATTTATACTTATAATTTGTAAATGATTTATTAATTATTAATAAAATTTTATTTTTATAATTTTTTATTTGTAATTTATGTCATTTTATGTGATTAATAAAATTATTATTTTTTATTAAATTTTTGTCTTTTTTTATAATTTAAAATTTAAATAAAATTAAAAAAATTTGATAAAAATTTTAACAAAAAGAAAATAAACCGGGCCCGGACCCGGCCCGGGGTACCCGGGTCCGGGTTCGGGCTCCGGTTTTGCTCGGCCCTAATGGACAGGCCTAACAATACCTCTTGAGGCTTATCCGGACCGGCCCGGATGGACAGACCTAAGAATACCTCTTGAGGCTTGTCGCACAATCGTTTTTCCATTTTACAACATATACCCAATTTTATAACCCCTAAATTTCAACATTACTTTGTATAAAAAAAAATCTTTCAACATTATTTTAGACACCGTGAACTTTTAGATTTTCGAAGAAACCCTATTACGCTATTGAAGGCCATGTTGAAAAAAACTGAAAGCGTCTACGGGGTTTTACCACAATCCTCAAAGGTCAATCAAGTAACATTTATAAAGTTTAGGGGAGCTATATATCTCAAAATCTGCTATACTTTGGGAGTTATGTATAATGTGATTCGGATTTTTCTAACAGGAATATATATAACTTTCCCATTAGATGAATTTAAATCAAACTGTATTTATATAAAGCTTTCATCACACGCTAACCATTTTAATTTTTTTTCTTATTTGTTATTAAAATTTGTCAATCAAATCATATATTCACTTGAACCACAGACGTGCCTAATTCGGCTATGACTAACATAAAAAGTGTCATTTCATCGAACCTACTAAAATTTTATTCAGGTTCAAGAACAAAGCTTCAAACTTCGTCACCTAACAAGCCTTGCATATTTACTAAAATTAAACTAACAACATACCATGAAAACTTTAGCACCAGAATTCAGCGCATTGATTATCATCTTCCTCTCCACCGGCCCGGTAATCTCCACCGTCCGATCCGCCACCGCCGGGGGCACAGGCGCACAAACCCAATCCCCCTCCCTAACGAACTTCGTCGCCGGATCGAACCCCGGCAGACCGCCGGCGTCGTACCTCCGCTTCGCCTCCCTGCGGCACTCCATCGCGTAGCGGATCCTCCCCCGAAACTCCCTCTGGAGGTCGGCGACGAACCGGAGCGCGTCGGCAGTGAGGACTTGGGCGAACTCGTCGGAGTAGCGGCCACGGATGTCGACCCCGTCGGGTACGTCGTAGTAGCTCATGTTCTTCGACATCGCGCTAGCTTTTTGTTTAGAGAATATGACTAGCTAGGGTGGGACTAATGCGTGAGGCTTAGAGGTGAGGGTGTATTTATAGGGATAATAATTAAATCACTGGCCTTTATCCATTTTAGATCATTGTATAGATAATCTCTAAATTTGTCTGCTTTAGTCCGGAGAACTTTGCACATCATGTGTAGTTGCATGTTCAATGCATGTGAGCTAGCATCACTATGTAAAAGGAAAAAAAAATTATTGAAAAATACACATACGTGAAAAAGATTATATATAGAAATAATATGTCCAACTATTTATATATTCAATAGCATCTTATCATTTCTAAAATATTTATTTGACATTTATCATCATCCCTCAATAATCCACCCAAGGAGAGAGTAGTAGTAGCGTATTCAATTATCCTTCCTGCGACTTCTATTCAAGATATGATATACAAGTAGTATTAAGAAATAAGTTAAGATATGATAAATACACTAGTAGAAAACTACAATTCATGCAACATAACTAATATAGGCTTTGTAAATCTTTACGTAGATCGATATTCATGTGGAAAATTTGAGGAGAGTGGATGTCACGAGGGAGTATGGAAAGAGAGAGAAGGTTTTGCTAATTGTATGGATTCTTGCGCGTCACCAATGCGTGAGAGGATAAGGATTGGGATGGTGATATATTGTTATGAGTTCTGGTCATGGTGCCCAACATTTTTCTTCTTCCGTCTCTTCCACCTTGGGATGTGGGATTGACACATCAATCATAAGGTGGGCATCATGCTTATCTTCCTAGCTATTTAGTGGTGTGCCGTTTTCTTGAAGTTGTGTATATCTTCGCTACATTTGGAGTTTGAACATGTCACTCCTTCTAGAATTAGTTAAGGATCGAAATAATTGGTGATGCACGTACGCTAGGATGATAACTATGCACCGAACTTTTATTTTGATATGAGTTTTGCTACAGGGACCCAAAATATGGGATCAATAGGGGGGACAAGTGAGGTGTCCCCCTCCTATTGGATAATGAGTTTGCCATCATCTCCTATTGGATAATGAGTTAGCCATCNTGATGGCCAATCCATTATCCAATAGGAGGGGACACCTCACTTGTCCCCCTATTGGTCCCATATTTTGGATCCTTGATGATGGCCAACTCATTATCCAATAGGAGGCAGACACCTCACTTGTCCCCCCTATTGGTCCCATATTTTTAGTCCTTGAAGAATTTTTCTTTTGATATTTTGCACATGTTATTGAAGGATTTCTATTATTTTCATCTAAATTAGTAAAGAATAATCTCTTTATCATTATTATGTATTAAAGGACAATAAATGAATCACAGTCATCTGAACCATTCATCATCAACAATTCTACTACAAGCTTATGTGCTTAGTCGCAAGTTTGAATAACTTCGTCTCCATAGAATATTAGGAATTGCTTGGTGTTTTGATCAATATATGGAGTATAAGACTACCCATATCCTTCTACATATGGACAGAGAGAGTTGCGGGGCCTAAACCCATTTACTTTAGTATGTTGTCGAGATAAATGGATATTATTTATTTAGAATTATTATGGGCCTGTGCAATGAAGTGAATATTATTTATCACTCTTCAACTACAGCTGTAGGCCATCACAGCCCAACTTAACCTGTGGACTTAGGGACTGTTTGTTTGCATTTTTTGACGTCGAAAACCCGGAAAATGTCAGAACTGTGGGTTCTACAGTTTGCTTTCGACTAAAAATACTAAATTGGTATATTTATACGAACGTATTTGTCAGTTTGGTATTTTAAAAAACTCCGGCAAGAACAAGACATTAAAGCTCGTCATTTTTGTCAATAAGGCACACCCTGTTTGCCGGCGGTCAAAACTCAAGCTCGAGTGGCTCACCTGGCATTTTAATTGTTGACGTGGATGCTGAGTCGGCAGTTTAGTAATGACGTGGATAGATCAAGATCATCAACTAAAAATTAACCATCAAAGGAGATAAAAGGACCCGGAAATCAAGTTTAACCTCTCCCAAATCACATATCAACCTTCTGACATAAACAAAAGTGATGTGAGAATCGTCCAAAGTTAGGGGGTTTTTGATATGTAGCCCCCTTTTTAGTATAGACTTTTATTTAACCCCAGAAAATCTGTACGACATACATCCAACATTCCAAACTCACTCATTGCTATAAAAAGAATAGTAAAAAGATCACTACTTTTAATAACCATGATCATCTCGTTGGTGGTCGTGATTCTCGCTAAATCTAACATTCGTCATACGTAAATTACATTTATTCTTAATTTACACTCAAAATCTTAACGATCAAATAGATAATCAATAATTATGATAAAATAGTAATTCCTTCATTACTTTTTTGATAGTGAAAAGGATCCGAATCCCTTTCAAATACTCTTAAGCTTATTTGTACGTGAAAACACATGCGTATAACATCAACTTTGTTAAATATTTAAACAATCAAAATATTCATACCAAAACAAGGGGTCAAATATTGATTTTGACTTGCAAAAGACGTATCACTTCATAATTTTTATATAATTTTTCGATAACTTCATTGACCAAATCAAGTTCCTGTATAATTTCCTCATCTTTGGAGAGATCGGCTGAATCCCAAATTGAGATTTTTTGGGTGCGAAGCTTTCGATGTGCTTTCTCTCTACCAAAACTTTGAGACTTCTTCAAATAAAAACATTTGCTTTTTGTGTGCAAAATAAGTCGGAGACCATCATTTTCTGAATGGAATATCCCCAAAACTTTAGAAGTCATCAAAATGAGTATTTTCTTTATTAATTTTTCTTTGTCCTGAAAATGTGGTTAACAATGGCTAGTTATATTAAATAACGGCATGAAAAGAATCCAGAATAGGAATGAAAGCAATTGGACAAAACCCATAACAGAGCATCTTTCATCATGACTCGAGGTACTCTTGATGAACCATCCTTTGAACAGTGAGGCTTACACAACTAAAAAAGAACAAAAAATGCAAGTAGGTCCATTAAAATCCCTACTTTGAGGGGATTATTCTCAATGATGACAAGGACTTGCCATTTAATTATGTTCTTGAACTTGTTAATTAGCATAGTATCAAAGACATAAAAGGAATTAAAAAAATGCTCATCAAACAGCACTTGCAGGAATAAGTTTGTGGGGGAACAACATATTCTAGTCACCCATGATTGTTTATTTTGGTTATGGCAGAGGACAGCATCTTAATTTCCTTTTTAGTGCTCTAAGAATTGAACCTTCCCATTATCAAGACAACGTCAATGTAGATAACTTACTACTAACATAAAAATACACATAATCATAAGAAAGGCATACATAGTTATCCATCTTCATTTTGCTGCTGCTCCTCTTATTTACACACTAAACACGTGAAAATGAAGAACAATAACATAGCTACTGCTGATAACCATTTAACCGGAGCATATGATCCATTTGCATACACACTAATATAAGTGATGGTCCTCCATTCTTGAGTAAATCAACAAAAATGTAAGGGTTTTAATCAATTATAGTTTCTGTTTGAGAACGTTATGATTATTGGAGCAGTACGCAGAGTTGCACAAGTTCAGCTTGACCTATGTCCTTAATAACAATACAATGTTTCAGACAAGTTGTAGGAACCACTACAAACAAGAAGAGTGTAAACCAAATATTTGAAATGTCAGTATTGATCATGGTTCTGGTTCACCTTTGTTTGCATCAACATCAGAGTTCTCTGACAGTTCTCATATTTTTTGATAAGAATTATTCGTGCATGTTTGTTTTCCAATATAACAATATCAAATCAACTTATGATTCGTCAAACCTTGCAATTTCTTGTTTATCAGTCATTATTAGCCAATATCAACATGTATTAGTTGTCATTAGGCAATGTCAGCAGCAGCAGTTTCTGCTCGAATAGCTTAGAATGCTTAAAATCCTATGTAGCACAGACCTCTCGTATCAGTGTCGGTCCATACGTTAGCATTTACTCAAGTTTAAGATTGTTGGTTTTGGGGGGTGTAGACCCAAACCTAAGAACAAAATCAGAAGCTAGAAAAACCCCCCGATCAGTCGACCGAAGGGTTGGCATCAGTCGACCGATTCGACTGTAGGAAAGAAGCTAGAAAACGTCACTCTGATCAGTCGACTGGTGGGATGCCACCAGTCGACCGAAGGGTTGGTATCAGTCGACCGATTCGACTGTAGGAAAGAAGCTAGAAAACGTCACTCTGGTCAGTCGACTGGTGGGATGCCACCAGTCGACCGACAACATGCACGAAATAGGCTGAAAGCTCTTATCGGTCGACCGATGCAAGTGCATCAGTCGACCGATATCGGGTCATCCTGTTTCCTAATTCGGTTTGGAATCTGTTTTGAGTTAGGGTTTTATATATTTCTTGAACGTTCTTTTGAGAGGTAAGACACGAAAAAGAGAGGGTTTTGAGTGCACTTTGAGATCAGAGATCTTAGAGAGAGTGTGGCCTATTGCAAGCTTTGTAATCTTCTTCAATAATCAAGGAATTTCTGGTGTGGCTCCCAAGGACGTAGGCACGTTTGCCGAACCTCGTTAAATCTGGTTTTCTCTCTTTTATTTAAACTTTCCTGCAAGTTTTTCGATTTGTTGTGATTTCTTGCTTGCTAATTGTTCGTCACAAGATTCGGAGAGCACGGGTTGTCGATTGTTCAACTCTAACAATTGGTATTAGAGCTTCGTTTGGCAAGTGTGAGAGCTATGGCAGAAGAAAGCAAATCGAAGATTGAGAATTTGACGGATCAGACTTTACCTACTAGAAGTCGCAGATGGAGGACTATCTGTACCAGAAGCATCTTTACCATCCGTTGAAAGGAAAAGCTAAGGGAAAGAAGAAGGATGAGACCGACGAGGACTAGGAAATACTAGATCGGAAGGCTCTAGGGCAGATCCGGTTATCGCTCGCAAAGTCAGTCACCCACAACATATTGAAGAAAAAGAAGACGATGGGACTTATGGAAGCGCTCGTAAAGATGTACGAGCAACCGTCAGCTGTAAACAAGGTTCATCTCGTCAAGACACTCTTCAACCTCAAGAT